CGAATTTATTTTTAAAATTTTTATCAAATTTTTATATAACTAGATTTTCTGGAGTTATATCAGGATTATCCATATATAGACAGTTATTAAGATTTGGTAAGACACCATTAAGATTTTTAAAAATATTTTCAAATTTGAAAAATGATTTAATTTATACTAATCAATATGGATTTAAATTGGGTTTACAAAAAATTTATGAAAATTGGTTTAACGAAACAAGATTTGGAGAAATAATTGATTTTTATTATGGATTAACTGATGAAACTTTATTGTTGTTTAAATTAGGACTATTAACAGATCCAAAATTAAGAAAATTTATGGGTAGACATGAATGTATTTCATGGTATTATGATATAATATTATCATTGAAAAAAAATTTAGTAAAAATATCAAATTTAAATGAAAAAGAAGCAAGTATTAAACTTAATCAACAAATTAAACTTAGAGCAAAACAAATGTTAAATAATTTAAGACTGGCTCATAACGCAAACTCTAGCATCTCAATTAATTCATCACCTTTAAGGTCATCACCATCAAGAAATAGAGAAATTATAACAACCACTGCCCCAGAATTAGAATTACAACTCATACAAAAGGAAAAAATTATAATACTTGCAGATATTGCAAGATTAAGTTTTGATTTTTGTTTCGATACCATTGATGTCTTCCATTTAGACCATAAAGTACCTAAACCTCTATATTACATGTTTGGAGTACTTTCTGGAACAAGTGCTTTATTCAAAGTATACTTGGGTGCCAAGGACGAATTATCAAATAGCTAAGGTTTCATTAAACCTAGTCATGTAGTTTTTTTTTTACAATTTGGATTTGATTTACAGAAAATCAATTAAAAGTGAAAAATTTTTTTTTTTTTGTATAATTAATTTCAAAATAATAGCAATTTCTACAAAACCTCAGGGATTTTAAACAAGATCAAAGCTATTGTTAACATGTGAACAACTTCATATTTAAAAATGGTCCACATAGAAAAAGATATACAGTACTTTTCAATAATATAATTATTACGTGCAGTTGCTATAGTTAAGTATAATACCGATTTTTTTACTTTTGGACATAAATACTGCAATTTTAATTTCCTAATTGGGCTAATTTCTCCTTTTGCTTGTGGCTAGACTTTTTTTTTTTTTTCTTTAATATTTTTTTGCTTGGTTTGCCACGACCTAATTTGCTGACCTAATTTGTTTGCCTAAACTTAATTTGTTTGCCTAATTTGTCTGCCTAGTGTTTCTGCCCTATTTACCCTACAGCAAAAAATGTAGGAAAAAAGGGCAAATTTGAAAGAATCTTTAAAGTTCATAATCTTATAGAATTGTATTGTATAATCTTCAATAGAAGAGATCGTGAGATCGCTAGATCATAAGATTATAAGAGAGATTATGAAAAGATTATGAGATTATAAGTCCCTGAGTCAACGAAAGTGCATGAATTTCAATAGAATTAAATTAAAACCTCATAATATTGGAGAAGTTGCGTTGGTTGTATTGATTGTATTGGTTGTATTTCAAAACTAAATTATGTATATTTGCCCAAGAATTTCTCGCCTTTTTTTTAGTAGTTTTCGCCTATAACTACACCTCGATATAAAGTTATATGCAAACAGATCCCAGTATCTCCTTATTATGTTACCACCTGTATGATTTACTTTGATATATTTATTTTTATAATATAATTCTAGATCTTTTGAAATAATAATAATGCTCAGTTGATAGTTTATAAAAATTTTTCAAATATTCTTTTATTTTATTTTTTTATTTTTATTTTTTTTCCAGAATGACTATTCTAAGCCAATTTCATAGTTGGCTAGTTGTATTTTCTCTTCGTCATGGAAATGATAGCAAATTTAGTTGAAATATTACGTTCTAACCTCGGAAAATAAGAAAAAAAATTTTTTGCCTAGTGGTAATATTAAAAAGCAAATTAAAAATAGTTAGTTTTCTAATTCAGCCTTTAACCCCACGGCAAAACTAAATGCATTTTGGGGTTCAAACTAAATACTTTATTTAACTATGAAAAATTAATTGAAATTTATTAGTGTTTTCGAAGAAAAGATAGAAACAAAGTATAAGAAAAGATAAAAAAAAAACCAAAAAAAAAAAAAAGACACAACTACTTCAAATTAGCTACTAATCTAGCTTGTAAATCAACAACAAGCAACCCAATTATCGGCAAAATTTAAAACCAACCAAAAACTCCTAAACAGAAACAACCTCATTAACCGTACTTTAACTAAAATATTCAAACAAACAAAACAAAACAAAACAAAAAAAAAACTTTTAAATTCAAAACTTTAGCAAGCTGATAGCAATAAAAAAAAAAAAAAAAAAAAAAGAAGCCATTTATGCAACTTCCGTACTAGTTTCTGGGTGAATCGAAGAGATAAATTGGACTTTCTCCAAGATATCAAAAGCCACTTCTTCCGCTAATTCTTCTTCAATTTCTTGAACATCACTTTTACTAGATTTCAGATCTTCTTTTTCATTTGAAGAATCTTCATCTTTGTAGTCCTGTTCATCCACAAAACTCATCTCACTTTTCTCAATTTGTTGATTAACAGAACTTGCACTATATAAACTATCTGTTTCACAAACTGAAAAACCTAACCCATCTTCTGACTTTGACGTGCTGCTATGTGTCTTTGTCAATTCCAAATAATTACTTCTTAATAGAATATCTGTATTTTGCATATTTATAACATTATTCGCATCACCTATTAATACCAGCGGCAGTGATTTTTTTCTTCCACTATTATTACCATTATTAATATAACCAAAATAATTTTCACTTATATCTGAATTTGAATTTGTACCGAAATTCATATCGTTAAATAGCATTGGTGAGCTATCCATTGAATTAGAATTACCTTGGTTGAAACTACCGTTACAAGTTTCATCTGGACTAAGATAACTTGAAGCAGTACTGGCCCTTCGTCTAGAAGAAACAGATGAAGTATCAACGCTATAAGGTGAATTTGAAGATTGGTTCTTAAGCGCAAATTTTCTTTTCAATTTTTGAGCTAAAGTTAAATTGATATTGTAATGACTTTCATTAACAGAAGTTTCTGATGAAGCCCGATTAGCATAATATGAAGTTGAAAATAATTGGTTTTTGGTAGCTTTTGCAACACCTCCCGCACCACTTACAAACTGAAATTTCGAATTGGGGGTCATTGGAGTTATTGGTGACGAAGACAACGAACTTGAGGAAGAAATGCGATATGGAGCAGGGTTTATATGTAATGAAGTCTTAAGTTCATCTCTGGACAATATAACAGATCTATTTTCTTTGAAATCTGCATTCATTGTTGATAGTGAATAATTCGTAACCATAGTTCTTTTTATTTTTTTTTTTTTCACTTAAAAGTGATTTGAGTGGAAATTATTAATCCCGATCTCTTTGTGTTGAAATCACTAACTACAACAATAAGTAGCAACTACTGTTGATTTGCCAAATAACATATATACCATAAACAAAAAATTTAAGAATTAAAAAAAAAAATCCACTGAGTTAACCCGACAACGTTACTGGACTATGTTTGAGAAGAAATCGACCATCAATTGACTATAAAATATAACTACCAACCATAAAAAAAAATCTCTTCAACCAAACAACAAAAAAAATCAGTCTTTTTTTTTTTCTTTTATATATATATATATATATATATATTTTTCATCTATCAAGTGGTTAACATATAACTTAGAAACTGTTGAACAGAATTTTATTGTTTTTTTTTTTATTTTGAAAAATTTACAGATTCGCATATTAACTATGCCTAAAGTCACCCAATAAAAAGAGAACCGACCGGAAACTGCTCAATTTTTTGGAATATTTAAAGGCTTTTTTGCATATGGCGATATGCAACTTACGAACTAGTCTGCATATATGCATTCATGCATACTTTTTGTATAACAATAATGCAGGCTTGTCTAATTTATTATATATTTAATACACTAATTTTGAAATTTTAAACGTTGAAAATAAATTAATAATTTTCAACTGTCATGCATAATGTTTGGTATTAAATGCTTAATTACTTGCGGCTCACTATTTTTTTTCTCGAAATAAAGCACCGAATTGAATAGTCGGAATAAACAGTTGAAAGAATACTGTCAGACTTTTTTTGTTAAGCAAAATGGAGAAAAGAAAAAAATAAAAAATAAAAAAAAATGGAGTAATGTACCCTTTCTTGATTCTAATATAATTATTTCCATGGCATAGTTCCGCATATGTCAAAAATTAAAAATCAAAAATGATTTTATTCCAGTAGGATATGAGATATCCTTTTAGTTTTTTTTTTTCTTTTTTTTTTTTCAAGTAACTGTGTTGTTGATGGATACTTCCTATATTGTCTAAATTATGTGCGTTATTTAAAAGTACATTTCAACTGTTGTAATTATAATTTTTACTTTGTTTTGATGATTAAATGAAGAATTCTAAGATGCACGTAATGAAACCCATATGCAGTAACACTGCAAATTCAAATTTTTTTTTGGAAAATTCTAAGTTGTGACAATATGATAACGGTGTTTATTTTGGACTATCTGCGAAATTATTGATCACAAACTAATTCATTTAGAAAAATAAATATAATTTAGCTATGAAATATTTTGACTACGTCAGTTATCACTTTACGATCAATACGGCGTTATTTGCGTTAATCTAGTTTTATCACTAAATTGTGATAAATCATTATTTTGAAAAAATACAAATTACAAGAATGATAAAAATTCAGTAAAATTTAAGTGAAAAAGAAAGCAATGCCCTATATTGTACATTCCAGGTAGGCCCAGTAATGTATGGAATAATTTCTTCAGACAAAGAGATGAAAAGAATTTGTCAATCAAACAGAACTAAAACTAAAAAATACGGAAATCTTTTTAAAAAACAGTATTTGGTATTCAAGAATATGTTTGAGGTCAAATTGGAGTTTTTTTCTGTAAACGCTTAACTAACTATGAAGTACCAATATTACTACAATTAGTGGCAATCTGGCCGAGTGGTCTAAGGCGCCAGGTTAAGGTCCTGGTCTCTTCGGAGGCGTGGGTTCGAACCCCACGATTGTCATTTTTTTTTTTCTTTCGGAGAGAAAAAAATTTTTTTTTCCTTCTTTTTGAAGGCGGCTGCGGTGACTGCCCTGATGGCAGTAGAAGTTAAAAAAAAGAAAAAAAAAAAGATAGAAATCGGATTTGAGTATATCCTATCTTACCTATACAACATTTAATTATATCTTTAAATTTCAGTTTACGTTAAAACTTATTTTGTTATAAAAAATCATTATTTTTTTTTACTTAAAAAGGCAGAAAAGAAGTCATGTGTAAGCCATCTCCTTGTTCAGTTTGTAGTAAGTAGTATTTTCTAAGATCTTTTTTTGGGTTTCAGGATTATATTAACAATTATGGTTTAGACGGTGTTAGTTGGATTGGTTGTGGTGAGCATATTCCATATGCTATGTCTCAGGTTTCTAAAGAAAATTGGTGTACTTGTAACCATTCAGATGGTTCATCTTCGGAGTTTCCCCCAAAAGCTGGTACTGGTTCTAAATAGAGAGATAAATCAAAAATCAAATTTTTTCGATTTTATGAATAAAATACACATTTAATTATATATAAATTATAAAAATATTTATTTATTTAATTATTTTTTACTATTTACATCTAAATCTTGTAAATTATTTTGTGCCAATATTTGTAAATTTTTATTTTCTTGTATTAATTGTTCAATTTTTCTATCCTTTTTATCTAATTCATTTTGTAAATAATCAATTTTTGATATTAATGCAGTATTCCCCATTTTTTCATAATTTTCATTATTTTTATAAATTTTGCTTGAAAGTAAAGTTTTATTTTTAATGAAATTTCTTCTTGCTTCTTCTTCAAAATTATCTTGTGCTAATTTGGCTATAACTTGCACATTATAATGTTGCTTTAAAGATTGTTAGTTTATATATATATATATATATAAGCAAAAAATAATAATTACACCTACCAATTTAAAAATATTATAAAGATAATAATCTTCTTCAGATTGTTGTAAGAAAAAATTTTCAAGTATTATTGGAATTGGACTTTGTCCCATCAATAAAGCTTTATAATTACCCATAAAATTTTTATATAATTTCTCATATTTTTCCTTCATATAGAGACCACTATAAGTTAGATTCTCTTGAGGAAATAAAGAATTTATTCTTACAGCCACTGTTTCCCATTTGTCATCTTCTAATTCAACTGTAAATTCAGCAAAAGGTAAATTCTCTAAAGTTAATTGTAAAAGAGGAAGTTTAATTAGATTAAATTTGCGTTCTTCCTCCTGTTGGTAAAATGATTTTGAAGAAAACATTTATTGATCTATATTATATCTAGTTGCTAATAACTAACTAAGTAAATAGTCAGTCTCTTTATCTTGAAAGAGGTTTCAATTTGTTCTTAATTTGGTTGTAGTTTATCGGGCCGTTTTTTGACTACCGAAACACTACCGAGAGCAGATTTGTTGTTAATGAAAAGTGAAAAGTTTGAGCATTCTTGCTAACAAAAAAAAGATTCAAAAGACTCTTGAAATGTTTTTTTTTCTCAGTTAAGAAAAAGAGAAAAGGTTCGTTGATGTTATACAAATAGTATTTGAAACTCTCCACCAAAAAAAAACGAAAAAATGAAATGTATAATCTTTAATACGTAAATTCTGCATGCATTTACAACAATTTAAACAATTTTTTGGGGAAGGATTCGTATTACAATTCACTTTATTTGAAGCTAAACATTGTTACGCACACCCTAAGATCATCAAGATTAACCCTTCATAAAGTCGCTTAAATAAACGTAGAAGATTAGCTATTGATTCAACTAGAATTGAACCAAGTCTAAATTACATACTAAAAAGCGGTACTTTTTATCTATCTATATTCTTTGCTCTTCTTTTAATGCATTTACCCTATTGTCCTAAATCAAGCTTCCCTTTTTGGATATTTAATATTCCAAAACACTACTGAAAATTTTTTGTTTTTTTTTTTCTTTTTTTTTAAACTGAAAAAAAAAAAAAAGAAAAAAAAAAAAAAATTTTTTTTTATGCAAGTGCAGTAAAAAGTGAAAAATTATCTCTAAATCTATCTGTATATATAAGAAGTAAAAGAAAGAATTTATTACTTTATCTATAGTAGTTCAAGAGTAATTATAATTGGTATTTAGGTAGACAATGGGTAAATCAGCTGTAAAGGAAAAGAAATCATCAAAGAAGGTTTCATCTGTTAAGGATGTAAAGAAATCGAAGCCAGTGAAGAAGGAAGAAAAAAAGGTTGAATCTGAAGAAGAAGAATCTTCTGATTCTTCAAGTGAAGAGGAATCTTCAAGTGATGATTCAGAATCAGACTCAGACTCTGAGGATTCAAGTGATGAAGAATCAGAGGAGGAAAAGAAGGAAGAAAAGAAGAAACTGGATTCAGAATCAGAATCAGAATCAGATTCAGATTCAGATTCCTCATCGGACGATGAAGAAGAGAAAAAAACTGAAAAAGTTGAAAAGAAAGAATCCAAGTCTGAATCAGATTCAGAATCAGAATCATCAGAATCAGAGTCGGATTCCGATTCATCAGATTCAGAATCGGAAAAAGATGATGCAAAGAAAGAAACTAAGAAGAAGGTTTCATCAGACTCAGACTCAGACTCAGACTCAGATTCCTCATCAGATTCAGACTCAGATTCAGATGAGAAAGAAACTGAACTGAAAGATTCAAAGAAAGTAGAATCTGCAACTGCTTCTTCTGATTCTTCCGATTCTTCAGATTCCGAATCTGAATCAGAATCAGAAGCAAAAGAAGAAAAAAAAGAAGTTTCTAATAAACGTAAATCTGATGCTAATCCTGAAACTCCAAACAAAAAGGCAAAGAATTCTTCAGCTTCAACTTCAGAATCTGGTGAACCAGCCACTTTGTTTGTTGGTAGATTGTCTTGGAACATTGATGACGATTGGTTGAAGAACGAATTTGAACATGTTGGTGGAGTCACTGGTGCTAGAGTTATTATGGAACGTTCTACAGGAAAATCTCGTGGTTATGGTTATGTTGATTTTGATAATAAGGCGTCAGCTGAAAAAGCATTGGCTGAAATGCAAGGTAAAGAAATTGATGGAAGACCAATTAATTTGGATATGTCAACATCAAAACCACATACTCCAGTTAATAGAACCGCTGATAGAGCAAACAAATATGGAGATGCCCCATCTCAACCTTCAGATACTTTATTCTTGGGTAATTTATCCTTTAATGCTAATAAGGATAATATTTTTGAAACTTTTAGCCAATATGGTTCAGTTATTAGTGTTAGAATTCCAACACATCCAGATACTGAACAACCAAAAGGTTTTGGTTATGTTCAATTCTCTTCTTTAGAAGAATCAAAAGCTGCATTTGAAGCTTTAAATGGTGAATATATCGAAGGAAGAGCCGTTAGATTAGATTATTCAACTCCAAGAGATCCAAATCAAAGCCGTAGTGGTACTCCAAGAGGTGGCGGTAATTCAAGAGGTGGCCAAAGAGGTAATTTTAGTAACAGAGGTGGAAGAGATAGAAATGCTGCTAGTGGCGCTAATCGTGCTCCATTAAACGCTGAATTTAGAGGTACAAAGAAAACTTTTTAAAGAGAGAAAAAAAAAAGCTCATTTGTTTTTTTTTTTTTTGATTTCATCTTATCTTGTTCCTCCTAATAATTAAAAGAAAAGAAAATTAAAACTAAAACTTTGCACACTCACATACATAAATATATATTTAAACACATATTTCTGCTTTTTAAGAAAAAAAAAACAAAAAAAAACAAAAACAAAAATATTTTACATTTTTAATATTAAAACAAATGTTTTTTTTGTTTTGTTTGTTTTTTTCTTCTTCTTAAACAAAAAGTTTTTTTAATTATTTTATTTTATTTCTTTTTATTTTTTTTTATTTGTTAAATTTTTTTTAATTATGTTTGTATCATTAGACTTATAATCTAGGTTTCCTAATTACTTTGAATTAACAGTTTATTAACAATTGATTAGTAGTTTTAGTTAATTGGTGTTTGTTATATATATACATATATATGTATATAAATTTAACCGCTGTTAGAATTATAAATAATAATTAATAATTTCTGTCGTGCGTACAAAATCAAATGATCTGATACGGATATATACTTTTAAATTGCATATGAAGCTTAGACTTTTAATATAGTAATATCATTTTGCGGGAAATTGTTTTAATAAAAGTCATTAGAAGAAATTTATTGCTTGTTAAATTAGATAACTTCTTTTATCAAAAGGAAAGAAAGGAAGAAAGGCCAAAAAAAAAAAAAATAAAATAAAATTAAAATAAAAATTAAAATAAAAACAAATATAAAAAGATATAAAAAAAACTATTGATATCTTTTTTTTTTTTTTTTTTTTTTTTTAAAAAATT